CAGCGGTGGTATCTGACCCCCAGGAACATGGCATGTTGCTCCTGCCCAAGAGGGTGCACACCACTCCTGCAGTACACGGACCAAGAACTCTACAGAGCCTCCTGGGATGAAGTTAGGGGAAGATGTGAAGGGATTAATGCTCACTGATACTAAGCAAAATGTCATGGCTTTAAAATGAACCCAGACCTGTGTCTTTTGGTTTGCTTTTAAGATTTTTTTTTTTTTTTTTCCCTCAAGCTTTTCTTTTAGCCAGAGATTAAAAACTTCCTTTAGCAACCCCGGGTAATCATGTTTCCAAGGTCTGGGACTTCTACTGCAAGCTCTGTGTTGTGATGGTGTTACAAATTCATCAATATTGGAGAGTAACTACCTTTAAGCACTGTTCTAGAGGAAGATGAAAGAGGGCAAATGTGACATTGTGTGCTGTTGGCTACAGCTACTGACATTTTGTAGCCATATGATCTGATTTGCAGTTTGGGTTTATGAGGCACCTTCCCTTGTTTCCTCAGATTTTTTTCAGTCTCCTGATAGTTTCTTCTGCTACAGTTTATTTTTCTGGAACGTCAGTGTGTGAGCTATACTCACTTGAAAGAGTGATTCATAGTCACCAAATGTGTTTTGTACCCCCTTTCTCATCATTGTGATGTCTCCTGCTGAGTGTGGGTTTTACAGCAAATCCCATGTGGCTCGTCTTGCCCAGGCAGGAGATTTGATGAGAACTAAATTCTTGTTTCTATTACTTCATCTTCTTCTTACACCACAAAATTCTTTTGGTAGAAAAAGGATATTTAAAACCAGAAACAAAGCTATTTTTAGAGCAAACTAATAAAGCAGCTATATGAAGGGGGGGTAATTCTGTTTTGCTCAAGACTGGTTGATGATAATGATGCCTTCATAGAGACAAACATCAAAAGCAAGCTATTGTACTGGCAGGGTTGTTACCCCGGAGGGATGAACAAGTTTCTGAGAGGCTCGAGATGGTTGCACATTTTCTAGTTCATTTTCCATTTCTGTCGAGCTTCCTTGTGCCTGTCTCATCCATTGTAGAAACCTTTGCTCCATTTTGCAGCTGTTTGGCATAAGCTCAGTCCTGGTCACCCAAACCTGAGTGTAACTGTCTACCTGTGGGACTGCAGGGTTGTCACAATATCTTTGCTGCTTCTGGATGTTGAAATCAACAGTATTTTCTTCAGTGGATGCTCCACGGTTTCTCAGTTCAAAGAGTCCAAGCTCTGTTTTAATTATTATTTTGATTTTTTTAAATTCCACCCCCCACCCGCCCCTTCCAGGTCAAGGGGTTTTTTGTCTGTTTTTTGATTCAATTATATTATAGTCACCTCTAAAAATCCATTTTTCTCTCTTCTGCCTCCATCTTGCTGCCAACCTGTGGTTTGAAAATGGCCTATCTGTAACTATTACAGTGATTCAGAAACACTTCAAGTAGACGGTCTGAAGGATGCTAGAAGTCTTTGACCAATGATCTGGAGACACATGTCAGTACCTGCTAAGAATTGTTTTCATAGATTACAAGACCTTTTTGTTGCTGGTCCTTGGGTGTAGTATTTGTATGACTCCAAACAGGGGTGTCAACATTCTGCTCTCAAGAGGCTAACAGAGGAATCAGGCTTATGGTGTTCTCTGCTTTCTAATAAATAACCCCGTGTGTTCAAAATTATTTTGTTTTGCCTTCCTCCCCAGAACCCATTCTGGACATGCATGAGAAAAACTGCAGAGGAAAAAAGGAAAAACTTGATGGGTTACTGTTATTTTGTTTACTGTGGGAATGTATACCTGCCTCTTTCAGTTTCCTCAAAACCTGGAGTATCACATGGCTGTTGTCTGGGATCTCTCTGCTGCCATCATATAGATAATGAATTGGCATAAAAGTAATTTTCAGTGGGCTGGGGGAAGAGGTAAACACAGCAGGCTCAAGTGATGAACTACTTTGTGGGTCCTCTGAATTCCCTGCTTTGTCTGTGAGAGATGCATTAGATAGGTGATGCTGTGCCAGTTCATATGTTCTTCCTATGCACAGAAATGTTGTCAGAAGGGGATAAAACAGACTCTGGAAATCCTGATGTCTGAGGATTTATGGATGTTTGATATAGAGCAAGAAAAAGCTGTGGGAGGAGGGATGAGATTACTGCAGCAGCTTGATACTCAGCTGCCTTGAATAATGTCACCTGGGGTCAGTAGGATGCCTATGGAGCGGTCAGGAGGCTGTTCAGTCCTTCAGTCTCTAAGTGACCATGTACTGCATCAAAAGCAAAGCCCAGCAAATAGGATTGCTAGTTATATTTATAAAGGCGTAGAATGGAAACCCGTTCTCTGTCCCTAGCTGTTCAGTGGGCTTTGCTTTGAGAAACTGAACATTACTTGCTGAATATGATGTACTGAGTTTAGCTTTAGTATCCATTTCAGTGGATTCCCACAGGCCATAACATCGAGTTATTCAGGTCTAGGGTGTCTACAGACAGACTCAGAACAATGTTACTGCTTTAGCCTTTCTGTTTCTCTGTCTACAAATGTGCAGGCTATTGTCCTGCTTTAAAATCAATTGCAAGTAAGTGACCTGCTGATGAAAAGGTCCTAATGGCTGTTCCAGTCCTGGAGAATGACTCTCAGCACCCGCAGAACAAATATAACACAGAGAAGAGCATATATTTCTTGAGTGGAAGACACTAGCCCTGTTCTGGCCTTGGGCAGGCTTTGATCCCTTTGGTGTGTTTGTTATAGAAACCTTGTGAAACGTAGTCATGAGGATCATGTTGAGGAGTCTGTTTTCCCCAAGCAGATTTCACAACAGTGTCAGCTATAAGCTGGAAGATCATCCACCAGTGGCATGCTGTGTGGCACAGGGCACTTCTACATGTAGACGTGCATTGCTTTTAGCAGTTCTGCTGTAGTGATCGAGACTGGGGGAAGAGAGGGTGTGATGGGGTGGTCCAGACAACCGCTGCACTGTGGATGTTAAGAAGTAGAGCATAAGACTAAGTTGCTTGATGTCAAGGCAGAAATGAGTCAGATCCCACTCTTAATTCCTGCTCTGTGAAGTCTAGAGAGAAAAGCAAACACTGAGCTGGTGTCAAATGTATTTGTACCTGGCAGAATGACTGGGATCTCTTATTTTACAAGCTATGTCAATCAGCCAAGAGCAACAGGGTTTTTTAAAGTTTCCTGCCATCCCAAGCAAAGGCAAATTCTCTTGGTTTTGACGGGGTCATCTCTGGAGGTTCAGTCAAGAATCTGCGTGTAAGATGCTATTGTGAAGCTGTTTGGAACGCAGTTTTTGTTGTTGAAGTTCTGGTGCTTTGGGGTGGAGAGAAGATATGTAGCAGTTTTCTTACAAAGGCTGTATCTACCTTCTGACGTGTTGTGTGGAGTAGTATATCTCTGCTCACGGTGAAAATAAACTAGTCTATGTCCAAAGCTAAGCCTTAGCTCTGCTAACTCTGTGCAACAATGTAAATACATGACCATAGCAGTAGATTGAAATTACAGTGAGTTCTATGAACATCACTGAAACCAAGCTTTCTAGCTGTGATTCATTATTTGCTCTTAGTCAGCTGCAATGTTAAGAATCAGGAAAGCTTATAGTGGGTTGCATAAACAGGATGGAAATAAAGGTTCCACATCAAAAATATCACTCATTCTATTTTGACTTTTCTCCTTCTTAGTCCAAAGGGAGTATTTGCAGAATCAACACCCTTGAGTTGTTTTTTTTTTCCAATTGCTTGGAATTATTGCCTTGTTTAGTGCATCAGCCAAAATCTGTTCAACTTCTTTCCATATTGTGTGTCACTGTCTGTCTAGAAGAGGGCAATAAAACCTAAGAATTCCTAGTTCTGGAAAGGATGAGAGTAGATGTCTGAAAGCAAGACAGAGATGTTATTTTGGGCAGCAGGCTAGGATGCAGGAGAAAGAAGCTAATTTCTAACCTCTCTGACATCCCTCTCTTTCTGGACAGTTTGTTTAAAACCAGGTGCACAGAAGTATTTCAGTACCTGCATTATGTTGGCATCAACAAAGATCTTGATGCTTAAATAGGGCAACTGCCTGCCTTTGCTCTTCTATCTGGAGCTTCTATCAGCTTCCTTCCTATCACCTGTTTTCTGACAGTTAGAGGTGAGCTGTACAAGGCCAGGACTGGTGGTTATTCTGTGGCTGTACAGTGCCTAAAGGCCTAGTTACAATAGGTGTATTGTAACATAAACCTTGATCGTGCCAGTGAGCAGGCAGATATTTCCCAGTAAATGTTGCTGGTCAAGACCAGGGTGAAGATTTGTGGGAACAAATGGGTGTACTTATTACAGAAAGAGATAAAATTAGCTCTAAATAATAATTGCTGGTCACCAAATTGTATGTGTGTGATCACACACACAAATTGTGGTGGTTTTTCCCCAGCTGCTTGCCAGATTATTTTTCAACTTTTCAGTGTTTACTTCAGAAGAACAGGCTTTGTTTTCATGAGAAGAAAGCCTCACAGCCCCTTATTTCCTCCTTTTACTATGTATTTGCTTGTAGCGGAAAAAGCAACAGCAAAGGAAACTGTTCTGGATTGGTTGGCTGCACAAAGTCCTCAGGCAGAGACCAGGGAGTTCAGTGTGGAGCATGGCACTCTATCTGGAATAGACTTTTCTGCTTCAAACATTGAAAAGCTGCTTTATGTGGGAGGCCAAATGCAGTGGCTTAATATGGAACACGAAGTAGTAAGAAACAGGCTGTCAGCTTGAGCAAACCTGTGACTAGCTCTGGCAAATCTACTGGAGCTTGTTTATGAAAAGCTGGCTCTGTCATCACAAGACGATAGATAAAGTAGGCTGAAAATGAGGCTCTGTAAGTATCATTAACTTCTCCGTGATTGATAGTCATATAAGAGCTGAATCAAGCCAGGCTCTTTTCCTTTGAGTGTCATCTTTGTTTTACTGGGTTTTTAAAGGATGGGAAAATTGTCATTAAGGTTTTATTAACTCACTGGAGATTCCTGTTTTCATTTGCAGATGAAATCATGCAGCAGGAGATACGGCCGCTGGTTGCAGTGGATATAATAGAGCAGCTCCACAGGCAGTTTGCGATCTTGTCAGGTAAGAATTTGCTGGTAATCACAGTCTGTGGTTCTCCTGGAAACGTATTGGAATCTGTCATGCTGACTGTCACCCTTCAGCTCTGTACAGCAGCTGCAATAGTGGTTTTATATTGCTGATGAAAAATACTGTTACAATCAGACATTTGCTGTGTATGGAACTGATAAATGCCAACTTGCTATGCTTGTTTTTCTTAAGGCAAGTTCATTTTCCATGTTCTCCACGATGGGGTGGGGGTGTGGGGGAGACAAATTTAGAGGATAAGAATTTAAACAAATCGTTCTGTACATAATCTTTGCACAATGTCCAAGCATCTTGTCTGTGGGAAAAGATTTTTCTTTATCAGGGAGCTATTCATGACCTTCCTCCTCTTCCTCATTTGCCTTTTTTTTGGAAATGATTCATTTCTAAAGTGTAAGGTTCTAATCTTTTAAAGATTTGATTATTACATACTCCTTTGTTTGCCTGAAGTTTGCAATCACACAAGTGATGCAGTTCCTGCCCAAATAAATAGCTGACATGGAAATATTTGCCAAATTATTTAATACACATATTTTGGATACTGTAGAAGAGAAATCCTTATCTGGGTCCTAAAATGGCCTGTGCTGTTGACCCTGTGGCCTCTGGCAACTCTTTTTGTCTCTGTTTCCGCTTGTTCTGCAAATAAGGAAATTAGGAATTTGCTTTCCTTCTTCCCCATAGACACTATTGAAGTATCATGAATTTGCACAAAATCCTAATAAAGTCCTCTTGGACAGCCTGTCCCTCTGCTTGCTGGAGAGGAACCCCGGGTACGCAGTGCAGAGAGTACACAGACCCAGCTCTGCAAATGGTCAGCTCAGCAGGCCCAGTCCTTGTGCATCTTCACGTTTTTAAGTACACTCCAAGCTGCCAAATGAAATCCAAATAAGTTACTCAGAATTCTTTACGGGGCTCAAAACTTGATTTTGAAGGTTTCTAGGTAGCATCTTGTGGCAGGTTCTTAAGCTCAGTCTAACTGTTTTGCATTCTGCAGAGGGTATTGACTGAGCAGAGATGGAACCAGCTGCATTCTCATCTGCAGTAAAGCATCTCAGGGCCACATCTTCCTAAAATTCCTAATAAACACAAACCTCCATGCAGAACAGTGTCAGCAACTGCATAAAATTGCTCAAACCTTTTGCATCCTACTGTTGTGCTCAGTGAAGGGCAACTAGGAAATGCTATTGCAGCATCTATCCTAAGACAATTTTTGTGGGGTAATGTTGCAGTATTCTCCTTTGGCTGTCCAGACATTTGTCTGCATACTATGTGCTTACTATAACTCTTGCCATGCAAACTGCAAAGAATGGGGAGTAACTTGGTATTATTGTTAAGTGTTCCACACCTGAGTGCCAGAGATTTCAATGCACAAATGCCACGACAAGGTCTCAGAAGCATTAGGTGGTCAGGGAGAGCTGGGCACCCCTTTTCCTTAAGGTGCTAGCAGCTGCTTAACTGAAAAAATAATGACTGATGGTTGGGAGTTGACAGTCTCTTAATCTGGGGACTGTTGTCAGATTTGAAACCAAACCTCACTTAAAGAACTGCTTCAGGAATGCTACTCAGATCACTTATTAGTGCTAAACTGACCTTAAAATATTCTCAATACAAGGAAGGGAATGGGGAGTCTGATCACTGTTCAGCTCCTTTTGGGTCTTGATGTTAACTTCAGTCAGATCACAACTGGGGTTTGTGTCTGCTTTTTCTAAGCAAGCAAACACCAGCCGGCCTCTCTAGAATGCTCTGCTTGCTTTTTCTGCTCACCAGGCATGTAAGAACTGCTGAAACCAGTATTGTTTTCAAGGCTTTTTATTTAACTGATGCACGAATGCATGTAAACACTTATATGAGTGTAATAAAACCTCATACATGTTGAGAATTCAGTGCCTCATGTGCAATGCCTATCCTGTAAAACGGACGACTGCTTTTTCTTAAGCCCCTTTACCTTGCGACATTTGAGACCATTAATAAAAGCTATATATGGCATGTAAAGAGTAACTTGTGGAAAGTGGTTTATTAAACAGGAAGAAAAAAACTATTTCCAGTTCCAACCAGAACATTAAACATGGCACAGAAATGTCAAGGGTAAAAAAGCTTTTCAGATTTCTTTATGGACTCATCATTTCAGCAGTGCCTGTATTCTCACCTGCTATTTCAGAATATTCAACTCTTCCCATTTGATCTAATTCTTTTATTCTTAGAAGCAATGAGAAAGATGTTTAAAGAAGTCTATTTAAACCTAAGGTGCTGAAAGACTTTGGAAATAACTCTTCATAGAAGGCAGGGCTGAGGGGCTCTTTTGTTAGGGATTGGCAAATAACTGGTTCATCAGCATACAAGTACTAATAACTAATACCAAAACTGAGTGAAAAGGCGTATTTCATGCCCCCCTCTACATAAATAGCAAATCCCTTTTAAGAATTTTTCAGGCTTCTCTAAAATCTCCTTGATACAGTCCAGAAATAATACCCTAGTGAGAAACAGGGCAGTGTAGTTCATAGTTTCTATGTTGATTTCAGTCTGAAGTTTACAGCTAAACCTGGAAACCTGGGTGCCTCCAGTCTGAAATCCCTGTGGCAGCCTGTGAACAAAACCACGAACATCAAATCATTTACTTGAAGGTCCCTTTTGCCCAGTATCTTTTTCTGTTGGTGACCACTGGTGGGTCATAGGTAAAACATAACAACAGGAATATTCGTTACTGCCCCTTTATTGCCTCCTTCAAACTGAGGTTTAGGGACAAGCCAGAAATTACTATACTTTTCAAAAATGCATTTCTCTAAATAAGTGCAACTTTCTTTTTCCTCTAGCAAAAGGATGTTTTCTTCATCCAATGAAAACAGATCTGGGCACGCTCCTGCCTTATTTTACTTATTAAAGTAATTTGCACATAAATGACCTCATTTGATTTTGATTATTTTATTTTTTTTCCCAGGCGGCTCCACAGCTTTTTCTTAAAGCATGCTGCTTTTCATTAGGCACAAGCAACCACAAATATTTTGGTGTTTCAGTGCTTGCCTACATGGAGACTGAAAATCTCCTGACACTCAGCCTATTTCCTGGATTTCCATGATGATACTTCCAGCTCAGTAGCCACTGTCTGAAAAACCCCCTCTGCTCTTTGGCCCCAACACCATGGGCAGTAAAAGACACTTCCAACTTACTTGTAGAGTGTTTTGGGTATATAGTATGTTTTTCTGAACAACTGCATTAAAATGGTATATGCTGATTTATCCGAGTGGGGTTATTTCTTTCATTCCGTAGGCTGCAGGCTCCAGAGGGCAGCTAGCCACCTCTTCCATGCATGCACGTGCAAGCTCAGAGGATGTTAGCAGTGAGTGTGGTTTGTGCTACTGCACAGCCTCTAGCTTTGTCGAGCTCTCCTGTTCAGTCCTGTGGACCCCAAATCCATTTCTCCAGTGATAATAAAAGCAGCCGGTTGACTGTTGCAGAGTTTGTTATAAATGAGTATTTATTTGGTTAATATCAGCTTATTAACACCTGATGGCTGAGGCAGATAGAGTGAAACCATAATATTCCCTTGCAGTAAAGCAGAAAAGAAAAAGTAGAACGACTGAAGTCAAAGGCTCTTTGTTTTCTCTGGATTTGACTTATTAGAAACACTTTACTATTGCTGTGTACAGACTTCTTAGAAGAGGTTCTGACTGTCTCGCAGTCTCTGAGAAGATGGTAGGAATTATGTAACCAGCCTAATGAGTTTGGTGTTTGATTGTGTCAGGGTCTAGTTATAATGAATGTATTGGATACTAACAGCCTCCTGTTTGTCCTGGGCCTCTAGCTCCCAGGCTAACCAAGACTGCACTGTCCATGACAAGAACAGGGAAACTCTCCAAAGCCTTCCCTGGTCTGCTGTGGTCATGGAAAGTCTGCGGTGTAATGCGACAATGTTCTTAATCACATAGTTCTACTTTGGTCATCCCTTTTTCCGTGAGCTGATCTAGCCCTGCTTACTTGTGAGATTTGGTGAGAGTACTGGGTTTTGTGGTTAAATTCTAGTTTTAAAACCACTACAGCCTCTTTCCTTTCCCTGAAAATTGAAGTCCCAATTATGGGGACTGAAGTCCCAACACAGGGGTGCACAGCTCTGTTTGTGTGTTTCCTGTAGCTGTTAAGGGAAGTAGATAACAAAGTTGGGTAGTACTGAAAACCTGGCTCTTCTAACACACACCCGTTTTTACTGAAGAATGAAGAACCACTGGTAAAATCCTGTTCTTGTCCTGCTGACAGACTAATAACCAGCTATACCAATCTTCTCTTGGAAATACTACTATGCCCTCCCTTTTTATCTGCAGCTTCACAACCTGTTCTTATCTGTAATGACCCTCTCAAAGAGCCCAATCTGCCAACTGCAGCAATAATGGATCCTGTTACTAAATCATGAATTATTAGACAAACTGTCACAAAGTGTATTAGCAGAGATTAATTTTCTTTGTGTTCTGCTCCTGTTAAGTCAATGGACTTCAGTGGATGGGAGACTATCTGAAAATGGTAACTGACTCTGAAGCCAGTTTATTTAATTTCCAAAGCCTGGAGGGTATTTGGCCATCTGCTTCCTGTTTAAACTGAGCCTTTTGGAAAACCTGGCCTGACTTTGCAGAAAGATGGAGTTTGTGTAAAAATCTAGACCCTGGAAGCATGATTTAACTTTAATGAGAAATTCAGCATTCACAACCCTTAATCAACAAGGAAAACCAGAACAACAGCATGGAAAAAGCAAAACCTGACCAAAGCAGTGAAATTTCAGCCAAGATATCGCCAAACTCTTCAGCTGTCTGACCCAGGAGACTAACTGTGCTTGGATCTGCTATGACTAAGGGAGCTCTCTGCATGTGGGCAGACCCGAGCAGTTAGCCTGCACGTGTCAGCAAAATTTGAAAGAAAACTTTCCAATACTAACTGATGAGTTGGTGTCTGTGGCAGGCTGGGGAGGTGTGCGCTATAAACTTGCAGACAAACTT